CCTCACAAAACCATGAACAATTTAAAAAATCGTTCTGTGGCCTCCAAATATCCCCAGGATTGCAGTGAAGTTGAGCGGGCATATCTGAAAACCAAAAAAACGTCTGACAAAATCTATTCTATCGACACTGACAAAGAACCTAACTTCTTAATGGAACAGGCCCAATATGCAAAGAATGCCATTGCCCAAGAAGATGGAAATTATGCTAAGGTATTCCAAAATAACAATGATATTTATAGAAAAAATGCACCGTTGCAACATGTTAATAGGACTCCTTTGCACAATGTAGAATGTCTTCCAGATAATGATATACAATACAAATTGCATTCTAAGCACTATAGTTTAAAAGATAAAAATGCATCCTTGACTGAAACTAATGAGAGACCTAAACAAAACTCTACGCACTGCAGAAGCTGCCTTTCTAACGTACCCAGTTACACAAGTCATTACTCAGCCAGATCACCATACAAATGTGATGACTGCTTGCACATAGGAAATCTACATGATATTGATGAAGATCAGATTCTGCACGAGACACACAATTCAATGTATGCTGATGTTGTTTACGAGCACAACTGGAATGAGAACGATGATGCACACTTTCAGAAAAAGAATACATTGAGAATCAACAGGCAACATTCGTGTGACAACGTCAATAAGCCAAGGGAACTGGAAGTCAGGAGGCCATCACGCAGTATAAGTTTGAAAGAAAAAGAAAGGATTGTTCAGGAAAACCCGTTTGCTAATTTTCTTATTTATCCACCTGAAAAACAGTTAAGGAATAAGTCAAATAAGCAAAGCAAGTACTTTTATCCTGACAATTCACCTGAAAACCATTTTTTGCATTCTCACCAGGACACGCATTCACTGAGTTGTGGAAGGAGTGCAACTGACATGTACAAATCTTCAACGACAAAATCAGCAAATGAAAATTATTTACGATCATCCGTTAAATCCACTTCATCTTTTTCTTCACGGGAAGGGACAGTACCTAATGATATTAGCATTTCTAATTATGCCCTGCCTTATGCCCCAAGTAAAAATACTGTGTACTCCGCTCCTATGGGTGTAAAGTCCTCCAACAACAGACGCGTAATTAAGAAAATGCCTAGTCTTGAATCAGAGGTTTAAATTGTTTACTATATGTGCCAAATTTTCTCCTTATGCTACTTTTGTAATTACCAACATTTAAGGGGCAAAACAATAATACTTGAATTATTCTTTGGGATATTCTGCATATGATTTTGGTATTACCCAGGGCAGTTAATAAATTGCCTTCTTGGTAAATTCAGATTACTATTGAATAAGAATGAAAATTCCTCTTAGCTATACAGATAAAAATATTGAAAATGAAGCTAAATAATGCATATACATTGTATTGTACAATTTATGCCCCTATTATGATATAACGGTACACATACATTCTAATGTAATTTGTCATCTAATCATTTTAATAGCAGAATAAGCAATATAATATGCATGTATTTTGACATAAGAAGTAGGTTTATATACAAATGCCTTTTCACAGACAGTGCAGGGACATACTGAATTATAAATATAGGATGTTATATCTATTTGTGTGAAAATAATATACAAATAGTCCTTATATAGACCTAAAAGGCTTGTTTTTTTAAAATATGTTTACATTCCTGTATTTCAGAAAATTACACAAAGTGTTAATGTTCGCAAGTTTCATTAAGTTATGAATTTTTAGAGTTGTTTATGTAATAAACAATCTAACTAAAAGGGCACTCTAAGCACCATAACCACTATAACTGATTGTATTGGTTATGATACTACGAGTCTACGGGTGTCATCCCCAGGGTCTCTCTTTTGCAACGATTTGACAAAAATCTCTGTTCCACCCACAGCACGGCCCCTCTGCAGATAACGTTACTATGTCAGATTTTCACTGCAACATTATTCATTCAAATCTGTACGAATATTAGATAGGAATGATAGACTGAGATTCGCACAGGGCTGGGGTATGGAGGTCAAGCGAGAGTCCTAAGGAAATGCTGAATGGAAGCCACAGACTCAGAGCACCAAAACCACTACATTCAGCTGCAGTGATTATGAGGCCTAGAGTGACAGTTTAATATTAATCAACAGACTGTTAAATGGTTGGTACAGCAGTGTCACTTTCAATGCAACATGTCACAGCCTTGTCAAACTCATTAGCAACATACTTTAATATCTATCTATAAATCTATCTATGTACAGTAGATATTAGTAATAATAGTCAGAAACACTAAAGCACTTGCTCAATATGACATATATACCTCAATGAATAAATAGGCCAAACTTAAAATATTAAATTAAAGTTAAAACCTTTCTTTCCGAGCAGTAAACATTTAAGTAAAGTTGATTCTATATAACAGTTAAACGCACAATGAAATCCTTATCTAAATTAAGTAAAATAAAATAGCTTAGGGCAGATATAATATCACAAAGTAAAGCTGATTTTCCTCCTAAGGTGGTGACAGTACACAAAAGCAGTCACAGTGTGTAAGTATTGACTCCTCTCTGGAGAATGAAAGACGTTTAGTATACAAAGTTCAGGTTTTTGCCTCCAAGTTAGATTCCTTCTATAATAGTGGGTACTTACTCTCTCTGTTCATCACCATTTGTTGACTAGAAACATATTGAGCATCATAACCACTACAACCCAATGGTGCTGTTCCATTGTAAGGGGGCAAACCATTGTGGAATGGTTTGCAACTTACTTGGATTCCATCAGGAGACATTTATTCATTGGTATTAATCAGGCCTCCCAACCATCCCGACTTTGGTGGGCCACACCACCAAACACACCACTAGCTTGCTCCCTTCCCCCCTTTCTTACCGGCATCCCAATTCACAATACATTGAGAGTATGGTATAGATTGTCAGCTGAACTGTCTCATAATGCTGTATGGGTAAGCCATATGCCAACAATTAACCTTAACCAGAACTCTCATTCTGGGATGTCTACACTTCTGACAGCAACATAAAATATCTCAGTATGTGCAGTGTTTCTTGCTGTTTGGAGCACTTCTAAAGATAGCTATCAGACCTTCATGAGTCTTAAAACACCAAGAAGGTATGCAGGAAATGAACTTCTAAAAGGAGGATTTTAAGTCCATAGAGACTTAAAATCCTCCTTTTATATGGCTTGCATTACTAATTAAGCTCTAATATGCGGGTTCAATATAGTAATCAGAGAAGAAGAAAGAATAAAATCGGCAAGGTTTAAAACTGTATAGAAGATTTATTAAACTATACTGTGCAAATACAGCTAGAGCAGAAAACCTTCGGTAAATTCTCCAGCCTCTCACCCATGAAGTTTTGTCCTAAATTTTGCAAGGGCCCCAGGAGTCTTAGTCATGACTGCTTTTTTTTTGCTCTGTTTTTATGTTAATCCAGACGATCATTGCAGGGAAGCTCAGAGTCACAGGAAGCTCTTCTTCGACTGGCCGCAGAGATCACGGGGCATTAGAGGAAAATGTAGGCTGTTCTAGGTTCTGTTACTACATGAAAGAGGACAGTGCATCTAATGGAAATTAGATAGATAATAAGGACAGTGAGATAAAAAAAATGTTTAGGATTTAAAGAGAGACTAGGGGGATGAAATGCCAAGACTTGCGGAGAAAAATCCAAATGAATGTGGTGAGACCCGTAAGAAAAGAAATTGAAATGTACAAAACTATGAGGGAGGAATAACATTAAAACAGGATGGATAATTTGACAGAGACAGGGACTGTAGGAGCTGGCATGGAAAGAGACAGGACCTGATATTATAATAGACAGAGGGAGAATGCACACATCATACTTATCACACACACAAACACTGATCTTCACACATACAGACCGCTGCAATCACTCACACTCACATAAACCCCTGTAATCGCACATATACTGACCTTTTACTGATCTATAGACCTCCTACATTCACACACACACACTGACCATTAACACATACAGACCCCTGCAATAACACACACTGACTGTTCACACATATAGACATCCATTCCATGGAGTGTTTTTTTTATAAACTCAGTCATACAAAGAATACTGAGCTCCCACAAAAGAGGAACAGCAGGACAGAAAAAGTGACAGGGAGATTTGGGCCCAAAATAGGGATGACCATCCTAAATAGAGACCCTTGGGAGGTATGGATCCCTGCACTTACACATATATAAACTGTTCACGCATATAGACCACCTGCATTCACACACACACACACACACACACACACACACACTGACCTTCACAAATATAGAACCATGCAATAACATGCATGCACAGACCACTGTAATTACAAACATTCTGACCAATCACAAACATAGACTTCTGAAATCACACACTGACCGTTCATACATATAGAACCGTGCAGTCACACACTCACCTTTCACACAGATAGACTCATGCATTCACACACTGACACGTCATAAATATACACAAACACAGATATGGCACAACTGCAACCCTGCAAGCATCTGCACATACGTCAATATTTACTAAAGAGGGAATTCAAAGTGAATTTATCATTTATGGCCTGAGTAATTGATTTGAAGAAAGCAATGCTGACTTAGAGAATTCCATTTTGACTATTTTAACCTTAAATTTTAATTCTCACTTCAGTAAATAACCCTGACACATGTAGAGAAAGCACTAGAGGGAGCTGACATGGAAAGAGACTGGAACTGACATATTGATAATATGCAAATATAGTATGCATGCACCATAAATACTTTATTCACACAAATACAGAGTGACACGGTACATAAATAAACCCTTTGAATTGCACACACACACATACACACACACTGACTGATCATATATATAAGGGGGAGGGAAGCAACGCCTTGGGAGTGTCCTCCATTTCAAATTCATATAGGCGAATATGTATAAGAAAGGATCAAGTCCAAAATACAGTAGCATGTTAAAGTTCAGGAGAATTAAATAAAAATGAATGCACTTAAAGTTTTCTGTAGCAGATAATTAGCTCCAAATGTATGCGCTTGGGTGGTACAATATCCACCTGTGGATATACTTTGTGTCTTGATCCAATGGGGTAAAATTTACTGAGCCCACTATTGGCACTCAGTGATGTGTATAACTATTTTTCAGACATATGAATACCTACAATCACATATATACCTGTACTGACATTTCACACATATACACACCTTGCAATTACATACACACTCAATACAAGAATACCAAAGAAAGTTAAAGTACACACAAAGTGAAACAATATATAACAGAATGACCCTTCCTTGTTATGGGTATTTTGAGTCTACAACTGGATATCTAAATTGATCAAGCAGAAAAACATCTTGTAGTGTATTATGGTTTGCAATTTTAGGTGTACAAATGTATACTGGTTAAACTCACTATTTAGGGAGCCAGCAATATGGGCTCTATTTGATAAAAGTGGGTTGGCAGTATCTCAATCGACCATCAGTTTGTGGAAGCAATCAGAATTCCCATCCGTAAGTGTCTTATGAATTTTCCTCAATATTCCAATGTGGGTTATGAGGTGAGACACAGACAGTAGGTGGTTAAAATTAAAGTAACATGTATTCCTGACCGTATAGTGTTGTAACCACCATCTAACCCCCCTGGCCCCTCTTGCCTCCCTAAATATAGTAAAATCTTACTTGTATTCAAGTCTGGAGCTGCTTGTTTTGTCCCTGTTTGCTTTTGACCTGCCCACTGCCTGTTGACATCATCAGAAGTGGTAGCCTGATCCAATCACAATGCTTCCCCATAGGAGTGGCTGAGACTGACAAAGAGGCAGATCAGGGGCAGAGCCAGCATGATTCAAACACAGCCCTGGCCAATCAGCATCTCCTAATAGAGGTGAATTAAATCAATGCATCTCTATGAGGAAAGTTCAGTGTCTGCATGCAGAGGGTGGAGACACTGAATGTTGTGAAGCATTTTAGGCAGAAAGGATCTCTAACAGCCATCTGAGGAGTGGCCAGTGGAGTTATCACTAAGCTGTAATGTAAACACTGCATTTTCTCTGAAAAGACAGTGTTTACAGAAAAAAGCCTGAAGGTAATGATTCTACTCACCAGAACAAATTCAATAAGCTGTAGTTGTTCTGGTGACTATAGTGTCCCTTGAAAAAAATTATAATATCTTATATGTATGCTTAAAATTATCCACATAAGCAGAAGCACAATGTGATTTAAGCAACTCACCCCACTGGTTATTCTACAAAACCCAAGGACAGAATTGGAGATTCACCAAATCAATCAATGCGATTGGACATTCTCTAAACCGAATGTTTATTGGAGATTTGCCAAAACTGAATGCTGATGTATATTTGGCAAAACCCAATGAAAGTGGACTTCTCAAATAAACTTTGGGTGTGTATTTAAGTGAATTTGTTATTATCATTCGTTGTTATGCACCTTGACTCAGGTCAAAACGGGTTGTGCTTGTGTATGTGTATTTAGGGATTGTTGGCTGGTGAGGGAGATCTTTGATCTCCCCACTGGCTGCAGAGTTCCCTCTTTGGGCTGGCACTCAGGCACCATTGGTCCTGCAGTGTTGAGCCAGGAAGCTCCTTTGATCTCTCCTGCCATCCCTGGCCTTGGCTCTTGGCTATCGTGGCTCACAGGGCATTTGTTCAGTTTTCCCTACAGCCAGTCCATGCATGGTTTATCCATTCAAATATATAGACTCCTGCAGATACCCACATACTGACCAATCACGAATATACTGGAAAATTACAAGATGCACAGGCACACCTAGAGGTTTGCTCAGATAGCTAGGAGCAGTGCACAACAATGTTTCAGCTTTGAGCCTTTGTCAAGCCTAACTTGTTCCTAAATAAAGTCTGCCTATTTGGGGAAATCTCTGGTGTACTTGGTCTACTTGCAGTTTTCCAGCATATCTTTGGGGCCTTCCCTTCCTGGCGGTAATCCTCCCTTTAATGTCCTCAACTTGTACAACCATTCACAAATATAAACCTTGCAAACACACACACTGACTATTCATACATACACATCCCTGCAGTCACAGACTTAGAAGTATAGAATGTGACGGCAGATAAGAACCATTTAGACCATCTAGTCTGAACAATTTTCTAAATACTTTCATTAGTCCCTGGCCTTATCTTATATCTAGGATAGCCTTATGCCTATCCCACGCATGCTTAAACTCCTTCACTGTGTTAACCTCTACCACTTAAGCTGGAAGGCTGTTCCAGTCATCCACTACCCTCTCAGTAAAGTAATACTTCCTGATATTTTTAAACCTTTGCACCTCTAATTTAAGACTATGTCCTCTTGTTGTGGTAGTTTTTCTTCTTTTAAATATAGTCTCCTCCTTTACTGTGTTGATTCCCTTTATGTATTTAAATGTTTCTATGATATCCCCGCTGTCTCGTCTTTCCTCCAAGCTATACATGTTAAGATCCTTTAACCTTTCCTGGTAAGTTTTATCCTTACATACTTGCCTTTCATACAAATGGACCACTGCATTCACACTAAAATTCCATAAATATACATTATATATTCATACACACTGACATTGCCCAATTGCAACCATGCATGCATGTACACTAACATTTCACATAAGACTATAACTACATTCGTGCAATTCACACAGCACTCTCTGCACAAATATAAACAAACTGTATTAACAGACAATGAAACTACACACAAATATACACATGTATTCTCTTACACTATGCAGATACAAGCAATAATTCAAACTGACATAAAGAGGACCTTGTATTCACACTTACAACACATGACACCACATACTAAGTTTCCCTTGCTATTACTTGCTACACTATTTCACTATACTGAGATGCATCCATCTATTCACACATGGACTATGCTAATGTTCATGTTTGCCAGTACACTTTTGTACTGTATTTACTGTACATAAATACACCCAACTTGCAGCACATACAAATACACACATTGAAGCAAGCTGAAAACCAAGCTACAAAAACTAAGCTTTAAAAAAAACAAAAGCAGAAAAAGGAAAAAAAGTTCAACTGGAGACCCAGCTCAGTTATTTTGCCTTCATTTTTACATTTGCTTGTCACCTGACCACCATTTACTGTTAAGCAAATAAACCTCACAGGGATAGGACATTGTGAATTTGGTATATATGTATTGTGCTCAAACACCCATTGTGTTGTCACACACACACTCTCTCCTAATAAGCACTAACTATGAATTACTACCTGACTGACAATAATCTACATAGATTTCTACTACTGGGTCATATTTCCTGCCATTTTTACACAACTTTACCTTGCTGCTTGAGCTGGATACAAAGCTTTCGCTATGGACCATACATATGGATTTTGAGGGTTTTATTATAAATGGTGGAATCTTAGATTAGAGTTAGCTCACTGCTGACATGACACTTTTGCTTGTTGTAGAACAGTGTTCTCATACTAATGGCTCATGGGCTATTAGTAGACCCCTCACATTTTTAGAATGCCTTTAGCCACCTCTCCCAGCTTTACTGAGGCAGTGGTGGAATGGAAAGGTTTGTCCAAGCCCCTTTCTAAATCCTAGGATGCAGATGACATATTCTTTACTTGGACTGTTATATGGTCCTTAAGACTGGCCACTTGGTATCAGTGTTTGCTTTTGTTATGTTCTCCAACAAGTCTCATTAGTAAAGATTTGGCATTCTGCATGCAGAACTTCAGAGACGAGGGTAGCCAGGGCAAACAAAATAGGGACATAGACTCCACCAAGAGCTCAGCTATACTATAGTTGCTGCAAGGGAAGGGGTATCTGTGTGTGTCTGTATGAAAGTTTGCAACTGAGTGTGTATGGGTGTATATCGCTGCATGGGAGAAGACAACTTGACCAGTTAAAGCTTACCATGGTAAGTTGACTTTGAAAACCTGGTGTAGAGCCTTTTATCTGTATTTGGCGCTTTACTTCTTACCCCTTATATGACCCTGCAAACTTTACTTAGTGGAACTGGTCCTTTTCGGGTGAATGGACGCTTTAACTTAGCCTGACTTTTGTTACTGAAAAGGTTTTTAGAACCATGCCTTATTGAGTTTTTTTTTTGTGTGTGTTGATCTCTCTACCTACCTACTCCAGAAATTACACAGTTCTACCTGCCTTATTACTTTGGATATGCAATTTTGCAATGCAGTTTTGTGCTTCTATCTTTAAATATTTTAAGCATGTATCAGCTTTTGTCAGGGGTGTAATGTTCTCTAGAGATAATAAAGGGAAATTCCAAACACCGACAGCATTTTTGCATGCTCACGTTTGTATAATTTTGGCAAAAATAAAATGTTTTGTAGAATTCTGCGTCTTAACCCCGCCTTCTCTGTCCCACTTTCCAAATACTTTCTTCATTACTTTTACTGTACTTAAGTCATTGTTACCTGCAATGTTAGTAAAGTGACACAGTTGTGCTTGTCTCCGGGAACACACAGCACAAATTTATTTTTTTAATAAAATAATTGTGGCTGCACAGAGAGCTTGAAGATCTGCAATTCAACTACTCTTCCACTACATATTGTGTAAGCACACAGGGATTGGCAGATTTATAGATGAGATAGGTACAGATGTTATATCCCTGTGTATGTTAGTCTTTTATTCCTGGATTAAATATATACAATTCTTAAATCGCCATAGGCCAGAATGTATTTTTAAAAATATTGGTGTCTTCCATCCTGGAGTTTCCATCTAAAAACACTGTACCCTCAGTGGGTGTTATAATTGATTCCCAAGACCTCACTGAATAAACATTATCTTAGCAGGGGTACAATGTCAGTGATGCAGATTTTAAGCATTACTCAGTTCAGTTACAAAGGCAATATTGGCAACACTTGAATCAGTGAGATATCATAGCATATTGAGTAGAACTTGGAAAGGTTGTCTACCATGAGCTCAGGACAAGAAGCATGGCTTCCCTGTTACTCCCTCTGTCATATATCTGGTGCATATGACTAGATTGCTGCTTGATGGAAATGTTTTGATTAGACTTTAAATTAGACTTTAAATCCCACTATATTCAACAGTGATACTTCACAATTCTTCACAATTCTGGTTTTGGTCTAAAAGATACCTACTCCAAATTACTTATAGATAGCTGTTGACTGCTAGTCCTATGGGCTTAGAGTGATGCCTCTATGGTTTGATGTAATACAAAGTATGGTAATTACTTGTTTGAAACAATTCTGAGAGAAGTCAGTTTAAAATAAATATTCAGGTTCAGTGACCAGCATTAGTGGTCTACCCTTCCATAATTTTTTTAATTTTTATTTCGGCCTATTCTAGCTACTGTTTCTATGATAATTCTCTCATGTCTTGTATGTCTATGTAAATTACCTTTATATGTTAATTTTTTTTGTGAATTGTATGGAGATTCTTGAGTTACTGGTAGCATTCCAGTTGTGAGATTGTATATCTGACTTTTCACAGTTTTTAAATGAATGATGATAATTCAGCTTAGAATAAGGAAAGAAGGCCTACATTTCCTTACGATGATGAGTCTGTTATTTGACCCTTTCCTAAAACTGCTCTGTACTCACAAATGAAAAGGCTCGGAACACTTTAAAGGACCACTATAGTGCCAGGAAAACATACTCGTTTTCCTGGCACTATAGTGTCCTGAGGGTGCCCCCACCCTCAGGGTCCCCCTCCTGCCGGGCTGGATGGAGAGGAAGGGGTTAAACTTACCTCTCTCTCCAGCGCCGGGGCGGGGAGCTCTCCTCCTCTTCGGCTCAATGCGCATGCACGGCAGGTGCCGCGCGCACATTCAGCCAGTCCATAAGAAAGCATTCACAATGCTTTCCTATGGACGCTGGCGTCTTCTCACTGTGATTTTCACAGTGAGAAACGCGGAAGCCCTTTAGCAGCTGTCATTGAGACAGCCACTAGAGGCTGGATTAACCCTAACATAAACATAGCAGTTTCTCTGAAACTGCTATGTTTATAGTAAAAAAGGGTTAACCCTAGATGGACCAGGCACCCAGACCACCTCATTAAGCTGAAGTGGTCTGGGTGCCTATAGTGGTCCTTTAAAGGACCACTATAGTGCCAGTATAGTGCCCTGAGGGTGCCCCCACCCTCAGGGACCCCCTACCGCCGGGCTCTGGAGAGAGGAAGGGGTTAAACACTTACCTTTTTCTAGCGCCGGGCGGGGAGCTGTACTCCTCCTCTCCTCCTTGCTCGCGACGTCATCGGCTGAATGCGCATGTGCGGCAGGAGCCGCGCGCGCATTCAGCCGGTCGCATAGGAAAGCATTTACAATGCTTTCCTATGGACGCTTGCGTGCTCTCACTGTGATTTTCACAGTAAGAAGCACGCAAGCGCCTCTAGCGGCTGTCAATGAGACAGCCACTGGAGGCTGGATTAACCCTCAGTATAAACATAGCAGTTTCTCTGAAACTTCTATGTTTATAAAAAAAAGGGTTAATCCTAGAGGGACCTGGCACCCAGACCACTTCATAAAGCTGAAGTGGTCTGGGTGCCTAGAGTGGTCCTTTAAGGGTCCTTTTGAAATTACAGAGATTTGGTGTTATATGGAAGCCAATTTATCAATCAGTACCCATAAATTAGGATAAGCTTCCACACTTTCCTATTTTACACTAATTTTCAGAGATTCCCCTATGCCTTCTTCTATTTGGACAGTAGAACAATGTTTGTGCACATTGCTTTTTACTGTCAACCATCTGAAAAGCCACAATTAAGGATTTTGTACATTGTCATTCATCAGAAGCTCCACAGGGAAGATTGAGGTTTCTAGCTTGAAGTGGTCACTCAATTAGTTGTTAGATGAAGGAGGACAGAGATAGTCATTTTGGTGACTGATGTAGTTTACCATTTATCATACATGAGCCATAGACTCAGTTCCTTCTGTAGGGGATGCTATGCATGTCCATTGGTCCTGCATCTGATGTATGATTGCCATGCACCCTTTGGATAGCTAGACTAATTCTCCAATAATCTTTTTAATTGATTTAAGTATTCACAGTGGTGTCTAATAAAGTTTTAAGATGGTGATACTCCACCTTTGGAATTGCCTCATGCCCTAATTGACTACTTGTTCAACATCATAATCCATAGCATCACATGTGTGAAAAAAAATCCCTTTAAAAAGGTCTTAAAGACTAGTATACCTTTTTACCATCAGTCTGTCCCTCTTTTGGATAGATGCCATTTTAGAATGGGTTTCTGACTCATTCAGAGGGTGTTTTGTATTCAGAAGACAACCTATATTCAACCGGTAATGGTACCATCGTTCAAAGTATCATTAGGCATCACTCCCTTCCTCTCCCATCACCATTAAGGATAATCCTCTCACATCACCTTTAAGCATCAAACCCCCCTTTCCCATCACATTTAGGAATCAACCTTCACCAGACAGCCTTAAAGTGTCTGGATAAAAAAAATGTAAAATGCTGATGGGAAGCACTAATTATCAATACCTTAAAAGTGTTGGTTAGCTTAATGTGTCTACTAAAGTGGGCTCTGATTTAATCCTCATGTTCTACCTTGCACTCAGAAGTAGATAAGTAATGCAAAGGGCTTTCTTCTACGGATCCAGGCTGAGATGTCCCAGTAGGAAATGAATGAGTGACTTTACAAATATCTATCACATATGTCACAAAACATATATCACATCAAACCTGTCTGAAATCTGGTGGTGCATTTTTTAACGAATGCCCAATATCAGTTATTCTTAATGGTTATCATTCTTCCACAAGTAAGTAACTTTAAAGGGACACTATAGTCACCCAGACCACTTCAGCTCAATGAAGTGGTCTGGGTGCCAGGTCCCTCCTTTACATTTGCGGTTAATCCAGCCTCTAGTGGCTGTCTTCCGGACAGCCACTAGAGGCGCATCTGCAACGCTGATGATAAAGGATAAAGGTAAGTAGCTGAAGGGGTTTTAACCCCCTTCAGCGCCATGGGAGAGGGACCCTGAGGGTGGGGGCACCCTCAGGGCACTATAGTGTCAGAAAAACCGCTTTGTTTTCCTGACACTATAGTGATCCTTTAAGTTTGATCTTATCTCAAAATAGAACATCTCATTAATTGAATGATAAGAGGGTTCTATAGGCAGGTTCAGGGGTACAGCCAGCACAAGTCAAACACAGCCCTGGCCAATTAGCATCTCCTCATAGAGATGATTTGAATTAATGCATCTCAATGAAGAAAGTTTAGTGTCTGCATGCAGATAGTGCAGACACTGAATGGTGTCAACAATGTGTCAACACTGTGTGCAGCACTGCTCCAGGATGCACCTCTAGTAGCCATCTGAGGAGGGGGCCAGTGGAGTTATCAGCGAAAAGCCTGAAGGGAATGATCCTACTCACCAGAACAAATACAATAAGCTGTAGTTGTTCTGTTGACTATAGTGTTCCTTTAAATATTCTAAGAGAAGGATCAGGAAAGAGGAGACGCAAGGCATTTGAGGAATTCAATCTTCTGTATTGTATTATTTTATCTCTTCTGTGACTGCTTTTATGGACCGTGACCAGACACAAGAAACATGTGTTTGTCAGGTGAAACATTATTTTGTTTGTCATTTTTTTGTGTACATTCTACATAAGTATTTTATTTTAAGTAGAATATACTGATTCCACCAGTGGGTCAATTAGCAGACAGTGTGAACTTTAAACAGTTCCTGGTAGACCAACACAACACTGATAAAGTGAACAGTGAATAGATAAAACTCTATAGTGGCCAAGTCGCCTGGCTTTGGAACTGTGACATCCTTAGGGTACTAAGATATTGTTTATTCCTCAGCAAGTTGTGGATTAACCTTGACAAGTTAAGTTAATTTGAATAAGTGAACCTTAAAACCTTAAAACTATTAACCCTCGCAAATAGTAGTACAATTCAATTGGCGCTCAACGACAAGGTGGAGATTTAAGTGTTCTGTTCAAAAAAAGTTCTGAAAAAATCTAAATGGGAAGAAGTCGACAATGGGGTTTACCTGCTGGTTCCAGATTTACATGGTGATTGCCACACCTTTAGTAGGTTAGACTCCCTTTTAGAACAGAATACTTTGATAAATCCACCTGAATGTACATTTCTGAAAACATGGCTGGAAAAAAAGTAGTTGGGCAGAGGAAAGGTTAGCAAAGATCAGAAGAGAGTATGATAATGAGTGGGCATTGGCTTCTATAAGTAACTGAATAAATAGAGAATCCATAACCAGTCTATTAAAATTTCACAATATCGCAAGTAATTTAGGTGAGAAGTTATGTTGTTCCTCATTTGTTTTCGTCTCTTTTTGTTTAATTTTTTTACTACTTTTTTTTCACATAACGGTACCTGTGTGGCCGGGGTTTCCCAGAGTCTAGTGCTCTTAGTCAGGTGCACACAGTCAATAAAACAAAAAAAAATAAAAAAAAAATATGTCAAACAATTAATAGAGAACATTTGGTTGGAGGCTTTAAGAAATGACCTTCCCAAATACAGGTGTTTCTGCTTTCTATATCATTGTTTCTTATATCATTTATTGGCCCGTAGACTGGTAAACCAGAATCACAATGCCTCACTGAACTATCTTTGTGATCTCTCCCAAGAGCTTTGCTATTTGGCATTCCCCATATATTTGAAGGAACCGTCCAAGAACCAGAACCACAATAGCGTTCTACGGTGGTTTTGGTACCAGAAGTGCAGCCCTCCATGTAAGAAGTCAGTTTAATAACCATTTGAATTGTTTCCTGGGTTCGGTCAGGAAACACTCCCTACCTCCTCTAAGAACGAAGCTTTGTTACCAAACAGTTTCATTACTTGGATTGACAGGTGCCAGGGCAGTGTCTTGAAATAGTGTTTGGAGTGCTCCTTTAAGTACATCCATGTTTCTTCAGTGATTTATTATAATAGGCCATATCTCAGTGCAGGATAGGATACTCACTCATTCACTCATCAGTCCCATGTCCCTCATGGTAACATTGAGGTTCTGGTGGCAATCACCATTTCTAATAATATTTAGGGCAAGTTTGTTTTAAGGCTAATATGTTGCTTTCCACCATACCACCAATAAGGTTTTTGAAGTGACAGGCTCGTCGTGCATGCTTACTAAAGGTTTAGGATTTAGGAAATGTTTGTTTTAGAGCAGATTATCACAGAATATCTTTAGTCAAAATATCCACAACATTTTTTTTTATAATTCTAACCTGCCCTAGGTATCAGCACTGGGCACTAAATGGTATATTTATTTTTATTCTCATAGATTTCTATGGATGCCACTTTTGTCTTTGGATGCTTGCTATTATATATCCAAGTATTTTCATATCCAGGATTTTGTTTAGTCTTTCTGGTGGCACTAAAGACCCAATATTTTATGGTTTTCTTTATTTCCCTCTAGTTAGGTTAAACATCTATGCACTGTTTTTATTAAGTATGTTATTTAACTATGGTTGAAATAGGAATATGGGACTTCTGCTTCCATTTTTGATGTTCTGCTTGCCCAGTTTCTTTAAGCGTCCTCCAGTTTTGCATTCGATGAGAGATGACACAAAATATCAACATTTTTTTTTTCTTTTATTCCTTTATGATTTTTTTTTAGTTTTTAAATGCCTAATTTTTTTATTCTTACTGTTTAGAAAAAAAAAAATACTAAGTGGCTTTAATTAGTTTTAAATACATTCTTAATTCATTTTGAGATGGGTAAAAAAAAGTTTGCACAGTGCTATATAAAATTATATTTACACATCTACATCGGGCACTATTATTTTCACTTTTAATTCATATGTTATATGTTATATATCTTCAGTGAAGCCCCTTGCTAATGATTACTCAGGGCTGTATAGTAAATTCTTACCCTTTATTTTACCATTTTTGTTATGTTGTCATAATTTTTCTTGTAAATACTGTTCATGTTAAAATGCTGTAATTTTATTGCACACAATCAATTGCAGTTGTCATGTAATCTATAAGGAATGCAAGACCATTTACACTATTGGCATGGAAATGAAATTATATACTTTTAATTAATGTTTCTTTTATAACGGCATATATTAAGTGTAAAAATAATAGCATCAGAATGACACCAGAGTAGTTTATGAGTTAGTATAATTTGTAGGAGGTAAGCAAATAGTTTACTTTTTCATAATATTTTTATATATATATATAGCCCAAGGAAAAGTTATGTATATCATAATTTAAGGATATGCACATAATCATTCAATAAATTTATGTTAATGTTATAGTCCCGCTTGCATATATTTTGGAAATTATATAAAGTAATACTATACAGTAAATTAGTATTTTATTGAGTATTTATATTGGCTGTTTCAATTATTTATGTATGTTTGTATGTTATACAGACACACTACAGCAAATACACTCTCACAGGATCACAGGGTCACAGAATGGGAAATAAATTAGGTACTGTAAAACAGTCTTGGGGAACCGATTTGCATAAGTCCGAACATGCTCATTTTCTTTCGTGATTCAAATCCCCATTCATAGCACCAAAAAAAAGTGTATGGAATGGGAAGAGGCTTTTTTTTCGGTGAGGCAAATAAGCAACTTAGTTTGCAATGATGGACAATAGGTTTGCCCAGTCATGTGGGCTGTATCTCCTGTCCACTCCAGAGGCAGAAGAAAAGATGACTAGGGAACAGCCAGTAAATTACATAGTCACATAGCTGAAAAGACATGTATCCATAAAGTTCAGCCTTTCTCACATTTGTTTTTGCTGTCGATTCAAAAGATTACTCATTCATAGATCAAGTGGCAACAGGCTAATAGAGGCAAAAAAGGATGAACAGTAAAACAATCTATACTTCCTAGCAGGGCTACCATCATTAACTTTGGGGCCCCTTACACAGCTCAAAGCCTGGACCCCACGACACGCAGGGGCCATCCTCGAGCCCACCCACAAGCATTGTATGTGTGTGTCTTAGGGATGCATTCTGTGTTTGAGTGTAGTGGATGCAGAGTGTGTATAAAGTGGATGTAGACTGCAGCTTGTGTGTTTGTGTAGTAGATGCAGTGTGTTTGTGTGTAAATGTATAGTGTAGGATAGAGGCCATCGGTGTAAGCAGTGTTTTATTGATCATTTCTAATTAAGTTTATTCCCCCTTTATGCCTCTTACATGTGGCCGGAGAGGTGGGACACTACATTCTCTGGTGGAACTTTGCATTTTTCCCAGCTACATTATTTAATGAAGAGGGGGCCCAGGAGACTCACCCGTTTGGCAGGCAGCTGGTCCTCTCCCTTTCTTTGCAAGCCCCTGCATGTGAGCACAAGCCCAAATGTGCTCATTTTCATTTGTGATTCATAGTGCCGTTCCTGGCACCAGACAAAAAGAGGATGGAGAATGAAGAAGATACTAAGCAGCTTAGTTTGCCATGATGGACAATAGGTCTGTCCAATCATGAGGCAGTATCTCCTGTCCAATTAAGAGGTAGATAAAAAGATGATTGGTGGCCTTATCTAATAAAGAGGGGCCAGGAGACTGGCAGGCAGCAGGTCCTCTCACTCTCTCTTATGAGCCGCTGCATGAATACGTATCAGAGATAATCTGTAGCAACGCTCTGACAGTTGGGGCTCATGAAATTACCTGATATATATATCCACACATAAACGGATGTATATATGTACACAAACATAAAGAGAGAGAGAAAGAGTGAGAGAAAATATGCATGATACTGAAAAAAAAAAAAATATATATATATATATATATAAATATATGCATAGTGGGAGTATAGGGCCCGGGCCCACTGCCAGCTGTACCGGGTGTACCCACGATGACGGCCCTGCTTCCAAGCAGGATTTTTCCAGACACTCTTAATGCATCTTCTAAGAGAAAAGAGTTAGATGAGCAATGATACTGTGTGTTGCACCATTACCAGTGGAAATCTGTGTCATTGATCCTGGTGTGACTTTGGCTAGGTTACTGCCAGTGTTATTGCCATCGATTCTATTGTGAGATTAGACACACAAAAAAACACAAAAGAAAAGAAAGAAAATGCATAAATAAATAATAGAGAAATTGAAAACCCTTTAACTGCAAAAAGGGGGCATGTCACCTAAATATTGCTCTTAAAAAGGAGCAATCATACAGTACTCCCACAATAAAACAACATGAAAGTAAGATCAAGAAACATGAAAAACATGTCAAGGTAGTATAATGAAGCGAATAGGTGGGTGAGATGGGAGCAATATGAGTGAGAATGCAACTGCAGTCTATTTCACAGCAAATGAAACACTTGGATAAATAAGTAATTAAATAAGCTAATTCAGAAGACTTGGTAGTAAACCAAACAATAAATGGAATAGTCCATAATTGGAACAGTTTCTAATTACTGTTGCAAATGGACCTAATTAGTTACCTGTAGACTTATGTAACAATAATATCACCCAAATTTCACATCTTTCTAGTGTTCTCAGTAAAGCTGGAAACAGTACCTGGAACAGTGATAAATCCTAAGTACTGACCTATCTGACCTACCTGATCAATCTGGTGACAGGCATCCAATCCTTTTAAATCAGAAGTTAGTTTTGTACTCTTCCACGTGTTTCTTTTGCTTTGAAATAGACTGCATTTACCTTCTCACTCACATTGTGCCTCTCTCACCAATCTCTCACCTTTAGGACATGACATATTTAGCATATTTTATAGTATTACTTTACTGTAGCTTGCTGCTCTAGCTAGCTAGATACTACCACGATACTACCAAGGATACCACCAAGGATACTACCAAGATACTACCAAGGATACTACCAAAGATACCACCAAGGATACTACCAAGGATACCACAAAGAATACTACCAAGATACTACCAAGGATACCGCCAAGGATACTACCAAGATACTACCAAGGATACTACCAAGGATACCACCAAGGATACTACCAAGATATCACCAAGAATACTACCAAGATACTACCAAGATAGTACCAAGGATACCACCAAGGATACCACAAAGAATACTACCAAGATACCACCAAGGATACTACCAAGATACTACCAAGGATACTACCAAGATACTACCAAGGATATCACCAAGGATACTACCAAGATACTACCAAGGATACTACCAAGATACTACCAAGATACTACCAAGGATACCACCAAGGATACTACCAAGGATACCACCAAGGATACTACCAAGATACTACCAAGGATACTACCAAGATACTACCAAGATACTACCAAGGATCCCACCAAGGATACTACCAAGATACTACCAAGGATATTACCAAGATACTACCAAGGATACTACCAAGATACTACCAAGGTTACTACCAAGATACTACCAAGGATACTACCAAGATACTACCAAGGTTACTACCAAGATACTACCAAGGTTACTACCAAGATACTACCAAGGATACTACCAAGAATACTACCAAGATACTACCAAGGATACTACCAAGATACTACCAAGGATACTACCAAGATACTACCAAGATACTACCAAGATACTACCAAGGATACCACCAAAGATACTACCAAGATACTACCAAGGATACTACCAAGGATACCACCAAGGATACTACCAAGATACTACCAAGATACTAATAAGGATGCTTGAAATAACTTTGAATAAGAGAGATGATATTACCGTTGTGTCATTGATCCTAGTATGAGACTTTGTTACCAAAAATACAATTGTGGTTTATTTTTTGCTTGGTTGTTTGTTTTGTTAACTGTTTATAGAAAAAAACAGTAGAAAAAATATTTTTGTGGTGAAAGTGAATACAAAAGCACAAAAAAATAACAAAGAACGTTCCTCTTGCCTAGCTACTCCCACATTGGCCTGCTTCATTCATTTTAGTTTGACACTGTTGCAGAGTCGTACTATGAGCCACTGTCACTTAACAGCAACTTGGAATCACCACTTTACATTTTGACAGGATTTGGGGGTTTATTTTGGAGAAATTAGCTGAGTATATTCAGTCCAGTGTGCTATGCACTGTACATGGATTCCTAAAGTCAAACACAATAATGTAACAGTAGTAACTGAACCAAGCACCATTTTGCAACACAAAAAAATTTTTTTTGCTGAATAAAGTTTTGTTTACACAATACATAATCATTCATACACCTGATTTATTATAATAGGGAAAACAAACTCACCATCATCAATGTCAGGTAACATTCCAAAGACAAAATTGAAGGAGGGTAGAGGTAGAGAAAGGGGACCTTAATCCAGCAGTATTGCTATGTAGTAGAGCTACTTATGAGAGTTTAACATCTCCGCCAGCACTGCCTCCATTACCACCACCAGCACAATTAATAGTAGTATTCAGTCTCAGGGTAGTGGGAATAGCAGCACGCCCTCTATGTCCAATTCAACACACTGGAGGCATTTTTTCCCCACTCATTGTGTGCTGTAACAACACTGTCACCGGAGTTCCTTCTACCACAGCTAGTTAAAGCGTTAAACCTTCTTGGAGCCTCGCCAAGAAGCAACATACTGATATCATACTGAACGATGGTCACGGACGCTACACACTACATGTGTAAAAAAAGCTTTGTTCTTTTCAGGGTGGAATTGCCAACTGATTTTATCCCTTCCTTTTTTTTGATAAATTCCATATTTTGAACTAGAAATGACTCCTGCTCCACTTTCTACATTAATACAAGAAAGCAAAAAGAAAAACATTACGTCAATCATTATAAAACCCTTTTTCTCTAGCTTCATCCTTTTTTTTCGTCCAGATATAAAATCTAATTTTATCAACTTAGAATCAATATTGCAAAATTGCCTGACATAGCATAGCCATTAGGCCAGGCAATTGTTGGCATATAACACCCTCTTAGGATTTTCCTGCTTTTTTTGCAGCACAATTTTGTTTCAGTTCTGGAATCCATCCAGCTTCCTACCATACACCAACATGCAATCTTGTATCCGGAGTCCAATTGAGGATTACCTTTCCCTCCCACAAATCACTGCTGAAACTCTGTGAAATGACAGAGAGGCATCCCCATCTAGGGGTCATATTCTGCAACTGCTCACAAACATAAGTTTGCCCCTTAATTTAGTTCACATATACTGATAACAGGATATTACTGTCTTAACAATGTGATAATACTCATTGTATTTTCCTTTCTAGCAATAAAATATCTAGCTCTACCACAAATCACCACCATCCCATTAAGCAGAAATTTAGATCGAAAATG